GGCCGAGTGGTTTGTACGCCGGGTTTCATGGTGTCGCCGACTCGAGAGGTCTCGGGTTCGAATCCCGGTGGGGGCAGATGTTTGTGTGATGAATACGAGCATTTGTACTCCAGTCATGGATGTTTAATATCTATTTCTATATAAATGTACTTATATGTGTAAAGTATATGTATTCTATCCGTTACCCTAGCATCCCATAACACAAGCCTTATAGTGCTTACTTTGGGGCTAGGCTAATTGGTGTGAGTGTTGGAAATATTTATTTATTTATTATTTATTTAATCATTTGGGTACAAGGCCCTAAAGTACGATAAGTTGTAAGCACTACTGTATGGCTTGTATTATGGGATACTAGGGGTAACGGATAGTATACATATTTAAGTATATTTATCTATAAATACATATTTTATAAACATCCGTGACTTAGGTGCAAATGATCGTATTTATCACACTAACATTTGCCCCAACGGGATTCGAACCCGGGACCTCTGATTAGGCGACACCTTGGACCGGGATACATACCACTTGGCCACGGAGGTCGTCGAGTTGCTTAAAAGTTATAATTTTCTGCGCAACTTCCTTCACTTTTTTTTCATAAGAACCTTTCAAAACGTACCGACTTATTAGAAAACTTACAGGTAAAAAAAATGGATGGAATCTGTAGTCATTTTCTCAGCTGTAAGTCTAATAAGGATTCATTTTCGGCACATAAATAGTTGGTCTATAGAGATTAGTTATTTTTGCATTTACGTATAAGTACGCGATCGAGTTGTTCACGTATTATCTCACGCAATCAAAAATAAAGTGATACTTTCTTCGCTTGAAAAAAAATTAAAGGCGCGTTGATAACTGATTTAAATTTCATCGGACATTGATGAAATAACCTCGTCTTGGTACATCTTAAACACATTAAACAGCTCACGATCCCAAAATTGTCAACTTGTCGAGTACCACTGAGCACATTATTCTTGAATCGCTCTAAATATAATAAAAGTTAAAGCTACCCAATTCATATTTGATGAAGACAGTGTAATTACATTTTTATGTTCTAATTTAGATTATTACTTTTGGAAATACTTGTGTATGTTTATAACTCAGAGTAAATAACTATATTTATATGATCTAAATATTATTGGTTAATCAGTTCAATATAAAAATAAAAGTAAGGTACAGTCAAAAATTAGATATTACTTGCCAACTAAAGTTGGAAAAAATATAGAAGGAATAGTGACAACATTTTTCTATGTAATTCCATAAATAATTCGGATTATAAAATTATAAGTAGGGAAACATTTAAATGAATCTTTTAAATATAAATTTAAAAAAGCGATTGGTCACAAAAAAAATATAACTAGTCCCACCTAAAGGTGAGGTTAGATTACCAATTGTATTTTTTGAAGATTATTTAAATATGAGCCTAATAAATATAGGTACAAACTTGAGAATAAAGTGCAGTTACACATAAGTTGAACTGACATGAAGGAACATTAGAATTTCCTTAATAACTATCGAAACTGCTTCGAACGATTACTACATCGGCGCCGCCCGGAGGTCGCGTCGAAACCCACACCTCTTCGAGATGTTATCTCATGTTGATGGATCGGATCTGTGTCGATACTGGCCTATTTTGAACGCCGGGAATGTTAACGATCAGTGTGGTATATTCTACGGGTGATCTTTTACTGATTAGATTATATTGTCGACGACAAAATACAGGGCAAGTGCGTTAGTTAGAGAAAAAAAGTCGTTTAAAAATTATTTGACTTATTAGTTTCCTCTTTTGATACGTCTAAGGGCGTTAAATCCGCTATATACAGGGTGTAAGGGAAACGCTCCCAAAGCCAAAATGTATGTATATTATGGAAAACAAACAAACATCTCTATTGATATATTCGATCCCTATCTCCCAAATTAGTAAATTTCTTCTAAGCGGCATTGTCTAACAATAGAATATTAATAATAATGGCTGAGGCGAATCGCTTTACTCAACTGCTTTGTATTTTAAGCAAAGGATCATTATTTTGGGCAGAGTATTTTTGGATTGCGTTTAATTTTGAGATCTCAAATTTTTATGTTACGAGATGAGAAGGAAATCAATCATCATTATCATCAGCCTATTAATGTCCCCACTGCTGGGGCACAGGCTTCCCTATGGATGGAATACGAGACTAATATTACTACACATTATTTCTACCCACAATGACATCCCATTGCAGCTTTTATACAACCTTCCTTGACAAACAAACTTCTCCGTAACAACAAACTATCAAGTACCAGTAAATAACTGATATTTTTAACGCCTCGAAACGAATACTAAATATAAGTTCTATCTTATCTTTAGACGATTACAGTATGTAAAGGAACTTTATTCAAGTTATCTTATTAAAAGCTTGAATCGTCCTTGTATATTTTTTTCGTACCTGACCTAAAAAAACCAAGCTAATAGATGACCTGACACTTGAATAGGTGTCAGGTCATCTTATAGCTGACAAGAAGAACAAGCGTAAGAAACTTCTCAGCTTTTTATGAAGTAGCGGCATTTACATATATATTATTATAATTACATTTTTATATGTTACACAGATCAATAATATTAAAATTGCATTGTGATAAAATTGGAATATAAAAACACTGTTTAATAAAATAAACACTACAACACTGTCTATAAAGAATACACCCCTAGTACGTTTCTTACGATAACGCCGAACATCGGTGATCTCGAATTCCCCGAGCAAAGGTGTAAAGTGGATGTCAAATCACATCGGTCCGGGTGATTCATTAGCGCGCAAACAAATTAAAATATTTAACTCGTCTCACTTTAGGGTTGGTGCACATGTATAGAGTCGGATGAATCGACAGCGCCTTAATTCGAGCCGTTAGGCACTCGGCACCAGGACCCGTACTCTTGAATTGTTTAATTGCTGTATCATGAAGTCTTCATGTGTCCGTTTGAACCAACTTTAAAATAGAGGAGGTTCTCTGTTCTTAATTTTTTTTAATGTTGTTCGTCCGAGGTGCGTGGACCGATTTTGATGATTCTTTTTTGTTTAAATCAGTTCTTTTGGCGAGTTGTCTCACATCAATTTGATGAAGTTCTGATGAGTACTTTCTGAGAAAACAATAGTGTTTTGTTATTTTAAGGGATATGAAAGTGATAATGCAGGTCAGGTAATATACCTTAGTTGATGTTACTCTTCATTCTCTTTCTTCTTATAAAAAGCGGATATTGATGAACGCGGTTTTCTTCGCTTCAAGCCTTAAATAGAACGCCTCAGAGCGAGGTAACGCCGCATGAGTCATGTTTTTTTGCGTGCAGCCGGCTCCATCGAATTATTAGACATTGTCACGTCAATATATTGTTTTCTCGCAAATATGTTGAAAGATATTGTATGACATTCATTCGTCTATTCGTTTGTAATAATAACCAATTAAACGCACCATTTTCGGATATTGATGTTTTTTGTTTAAAGATACATAATCAATATATTTTTACATTAAGAATACGTCGAAAAACCACTAAAGTTTGAATAAAGCGTCACAGTTCACCGCACATCACAATTCATCATTGTCACATAAAATATTATTTTAAAACAACAATTAAATTTTACCGTTTATATTGTTTTCATTAAGCGAATCTCTAAATTATGGGTCCATTTTGTATATGTGACGTTTAGGAGTGTGATTAACACTGTCTCAAAATGGTGACAGTTATTGTACAATTAAACGCGTTATCTTGTTCTTAAAATAATATTTTGTTATCCTTTCAAGTTTGTGTAATGGATAAAAAGACAAAAATCTCTATTAAAACAAATCTGAAATTCAAATTAAAAGAAACTCCAGTTTTACTGATTAAAGACCTTTCCACTCAACATTCTACATAGTTTTTTTTCTCTATAAACTGTCATCGGATTTGCATATAAATATTCGTCTCTACACATCGAATCGTTTCCTGTCATACCCCAGACCAGGGGCATGTTATCTTAATTAATTAATTTATGTGTCGATAAGTACCTACGAGCATTGACTCTCAGTGTACCGACAAAAACAAACCTATAACACCTATTGAAATATTTGACAGGGCTCCGATTACACTCAGAAATCTGACTTAGAAAGTCGCATTATGATCATTATTACGAAATACTCGGCCCCTTATGTATTGCCCTAATGGCTGGACTCGAACCAGCGCAGCGTTCTTCGCTAACTGGGCGAATGCATGCCCAGTATATTAAACGTACTGCTGCATACCCACTAACTAATATATTTGTTTTTTTTTTATATAAATATATATCTAATAACAATTATCTTTTATATGAAATTGCTTATAAACCCTTCCTTTTTTTTTTGTTCTTATATATTTATTTCATTTCCTTCCTGGAAGAGATTACTATTAAGCAATAAGGCCGCCCATTGTGTAATGTCTCGCTGTCAGTGTAATCTTACTTTTGTGTTCTTTGTGGTGTTTTACAATAGTAAAAAAATATTATTATTAATATCACCTTAATTAAATAACTTCTTGGGCTTTCAAGATTCAGCACAATCATTTAGACATGTTTATGCTGAAAGACAATGTCGCTGTTCACTGATCAAAGGCTAGGGCCGATGCTGTATGCTTGGTCAGTTTTGCTTCGAGAATCTATAAAAAGCATTATATACATACTTTCTCAGGAGTGAACAGAGTCAATCTTAGCTTAGTGTATCATATTTCAATATATTTGTCACAGAGACAAATATATAATAGACAAATATAATAAACATCAATCCAAGGGGATCCGTCACATCAATTATAGGGGAGATTAAGATCCCAACGACAATGACGTTATGTTTATGATTGGTGAAATCCATAATGCTACCCACAAAAGTGTTTGAATATTCCACTATGTACAGGATAATTATCCTTATTTACTTAAGTACGTCTTATAATTTACTTAGTCCCCAATGCAGCATCGTTAAAAATTAATTACTACCTAAATTATGATGTTTATCAAGTATTTTGTTCACAGAGGCTCAGTGTTCAGCGCGTTGTCATCAGCGCACTGGGCGCTCAGTCAGTTGGACGCAGCCATCAACTACATGCAACAAGACTTAGCCGTGGCAAAGTCTCTAGGCGACACAGCCGGCGAATGCCGAGCCCACGGCAACCTAGGAGCTGCGTACTTCAGTCAAGGATCGTACAAGGATGCTTTGACTGCGCATAGATACCAGCTCGTCTTGGCCATGAAGTGTAAGGTAAGAATCAAGTACATGCATCAAGACTAGGCAGTGGCCAAGTCTCAAGACAACAGGGCACGCAAGTGCCGCGCCCACGTTAACCGCGGAGCTACAAATGTACTTCAGTCAAGGGTCGTACTAAAGTCTCGTCTTGGCCATTAAGTGTAAGGTAAGATTAATATAGTTCTTGTTGCTGAGAAGCTGTAGCTGTAGCTGCATAAATAATTTAGGATGCCAAAGTATAGAATTAGGCAAATGTAGTGGCCAGACTAGTAAACAACAGTACCCCTTGCAGGGTGAAATAAATATACTGTATTTACAAATAAGTATTTATTTAGTAAAAGTGATGCACGACCGTTTAGATTTTTAGTTTATTAGTCAGTGAGTCATAGACCTCATTACAACCGGTAATAGCTTCAAATTATATACAAGACATGATCGCACACAAACCACGACAGGCAAAGAATCTACTTCAAAAAAGAAGTTCTGTTGTTCTATTGAAAACCTTTACTTGAAAAAATATTGCAACTGCAATAGGGATGATGATGGGATAAGTTAAACGAAATTCTTTTAAGTCCATCAGATTATCAAAAATAATTGACACAATTTTTTGACAATCAACCAAATATTTACAAACGAAGCGCGTCAATGTTTAGGAGAGGGTGGGGGCTCGTGACGCCACTTCTAAGAAAAAATTGTAAGAAGACGTGACGTCGTGCAGCATTTCAAATCAGTAGGTATAACTCGGTAAAGTTTTGATTATGTGAACAAAGAAAAAATACGTGTCCAATTCTTTTTGATAAATGTACATGATAGATGAGGAAAAGAGTTTGTCATCATCCCTATTAAAACAACCACAATAATAAAAGGAGCAATATAGTGTGTTTTTATTTTATTGTCTTTTAAGTTTAAAGCTATGGAGAGGTAATAAAGATTACATACTTTAAATGTCTTGCAGGTTTGGTATTTTTATTGTGAGTTTTCTGTTCATTATGCACATAAATAATCTTCTTTTGGTTTATTTATTAATTTACAGGAGCCTCGAATATTATTATTCACATTATATTTTATGATTATTATATTGACTACAGAATGTACTGGAAGCATTTTTGGTTTTTTCAACCAACAATTTAATTTCAGAGTAAACACCTTATTATAAAAATTGTACTTACCTAAATACTACATGTATGGTTTTTTGCATATCGAAAAACTTCTAACAGCGTTAATATACTATTTTCATCCCACCACCTCGGAAAGTGTAATTTTGCGCTTCGAAATCTGGCTGGAAAATTCTATTTTATTCGCTTGAGCGGCAAAGTAGATTTGAATTTAGAACATCACATATAATGAGTACTCAATATAATTGTAAATTCAAAACGTCATTAAACCTATTTAATGTAACCTCTATGGTGCCAAATTTATGATTAGAACTTTTTAAATTGTGAAAAAATTTAAATTTGGAACCTTCTTGGTTTCTTTGTTTTATTTGCGTGCTTCGCGCCATTCTAGTTTTTCACGTTTTATTGCTTAATATAATTAACATAACCTAAAAACTGTACAAAAAAATCAACTAAAATGAGTGACATTAGCGACGATGAAGTTTATCTAACGCCAACTGAGTTAACTGAAACAGTTAATAATGCGCAAATGAGCCTTCTCCCTCAGCAATCACGAGAGAAGTATTTGAAACAGTACGATATATTTAACATGTGGCGACTAGCTAAAGGAGCAAAAACTTTCTCCGAAAACGTTTTGCTGGCATATTTTATAGAATTATCTGAGACCAAGAAAGCAAGCACGCTATGGAGTACGTATTCAATGCTAAAATTAACAATTAAGATGAAGAAAGACGTTCATATCGACACCTATCATAAATTAGTGGCATTTTTAAAAAGAGCCTCATCTGGTTATAAACCAAAAAAATCAAAGGTTTTCACAGCATCTGAAATTGCAAAGTTTATTAATGAAGCACCTGATTCCGTATATTTAGCGGCAAAAGTAAGTCAATACGTGTAATTTTTTGTTGTTGATAAAATTGTACATAGTACTTACAATATTTTTAATTTGATTCATTTATTTACGATTATAAATACTTCTTTTGTTACAGGTTGTTCTTATTATTGGTATAACCGGAGCATGTCGAACAAATGAACTTACACTACTTAATGTCAATAACGTATCAAAATATTCTCATAATTCTGATGAATTGCTATTAATTAATGTACTAAATACCAAGACAAAAAAAGACCGCAACTTCGTTATTCGCAAGGAATATGTAAACATTGTTCAGAAATATCAAGCTTTACGTCCTTCTAACACCCCAATTGAACGATTTTTTCTACAATATCGCAACGGAAAGTGTATCCGACAACCTATGGGTCAGAATAAAATTGGCAGTATTCCACGAGAAATAGCAACTTTTCTCGGACTTTTAGAACCCCCGTTATACACCGGTCACTGTTTTAGAAGAACCTCAGCCACACTTTTGGCCGAATCAGGGGCTGATCTTCTATCGCTTAAGCGCCATGGAGGCTGGAAGTCTAATTCGGTTGTAGAGGGATACATAGAGGATTCAATCCAAAGTAAATCAAAAATTTGTAATAGTATCGTGGAGGCCATAACGCTGAAAGAACCTCTGTCAGATTCTTGGTCTCGCCCTTCTACATCTAAAATGAGCCCCCATAAGATTGGAAACAATAGCCCTCTCTCGCCAACATTTACGCCAATAGAATCCAATGAATCGGCACAACTATTTAAAATTACTGATACGAGTAGTTTACCACAAAACAGCGCACAATTCACAAACACCAACATAACATTACCTAACAAAAATATTAAACTTAACATAAGTAACTGTAGCAACGTTACATTTAATATTTCTTAATTATTTTCTACTTCTTATTATTTTCTTCAATTTATAGATTATCTTAATGTGTTTTAATTGAAATAAAAATATTTTGTCATTATAAATTGTTTTCTTTTTCATTTTGTCATTTCCTCGCTGAGGTGGGATGAAAAGTTACGTATTGCACTCGAGTGGAAAGATTTTTCACCTTGTGCTCGTTTGTTTCCCTCGCTGACGCTCAGGATTCTAATTTAGAATCCTTCGCTTGCTCGGTCATCCAAATCGAGCACGCGGTTAAAAAGGAACTTTCCACTCTTGTATAATAAATAACTATTAATTCTTCTGCGGTGTCTTTTCAAGTGGCGTCTACATTCTGAACATTTTATATGAATCACCCAGAGCGTCTGTATTACGCTATAAAAGGTACATTACAAATAGTAAAGCCTCCTTTTTATTGGAGCCTTTGATCGTCGCCGATGCAGGCGCGCCCTCTCTGCTTGCTTTTATGCTAATTTGCCGTTACTGTAGGGTTGAGAAAAACCTTTACAAGCTAAGATGAATAAGCTTAGACAAGTAACTTCGTGTTTTGTTCATACGACTCAAATGCCATTTGTAATTCATTAAATAGAGTCGAAACATGGAGTTACTAATCCAAGCTCATTTTTCGTTTATTAATATAGGGGTTGCAGTTTAACCCATACTTTAAACCGTGATTTAAACCTTTGAATACACACAAAAACCTTTTTCAAGTCATACTTTATTTAGACAAGTAAAGCGGTTTTATCGCTCATAATCATAATCAAACTAGCTTCTATCCACAACTTTGTCTGCGTCATTGTTTCTTTTTTAAGAATTCCACAGGAAACTAAAATTTTCATAATCATCATCAATGACATGCTAAAACTTAAAACTATTCCATTCTAGAAACCTAACAAAATGTTGTTAGGTTAAATCTCACAACTTGTGGCTTGCCAGCCCTAACTATCACACTGGTGCATTACGTCAAATCTTGGACTCATGGCGGAGTAATTAGTCTGGATTCAAACTGGGCATTTAATTTTTTAATGGAGATAATCCATACAGCCTATTAGCTTGCCTTTTAAATATTGCTAAGCTTCGTCGCAATGCAAATTCTCCGTATAAAATCGGGACAACGCATAAAGCTAATTATTCATAACTACATATTCACTATATTTTTCCTTTACAACCTTATTTTTCTATTTAGTTCATAGACGTTCAATTCATCGAATAAAGGTTGATTCATAGAAAGATGATTGGTCTCGCTTCGCTCGACTAGATACCGCACTGTCTAAAAACAACAGCTCCGTAAATGTGGCAACTCATTATTATTGTGTGTATATGACAGTTTAACATAATACTATAGTGTATGAAAAATCGTATGGCCAGGTGCTCAACTGCTACACAAGCAATAGGAAAAATATTTTATGCTGTGGACTATTGGTTATAAATGAAGGTCGTATAATTAATAATGTTACAGGTTATAAATGCACCCCAGAAAATACTTAAAGAAGATCACTTAAAAAATGGAATGTATCAATATTTTTGTGTACTTGAACTATTAGGCATAGGTGTCTCCTTCAGAAAAATTATGTGTATATTAATGATTAAACCTCATTTTTTCATTTTTTATTTACATGGAATATTTAGAGAACAATTATTATTAATAATAAAACACAGATAATAAATAAAGTAGATTACAAAAATAAACATTAAATATAAGCTTTATAGCTAGGTGTGACCAATAAAATGGGTTTAAATAATGAAATACATTTACAATAAATTCACATTTTAAAATTTCAACAACAGGAACTTGACTCTTGTACACGCGGCAATACTTAAATGACTTTTTTTTTTTTTTTATTAACGATTATCTCCGATTTGTATGAGGTCTTTTTTCAGCTTTTGTCTTTTATTTGTTTCTGTTTTTTTTATATCATGCTTGCTTTTTTGCATGTATTTTATGTATTTTCGTGCTTGTTCTTTTGCACTTGTGTCTTTTCTTTTTTATACTTGTTACAATGTTTTCTTATATTCTGTTACATTTCTTATTTAGTATACAATTTTCTTATTTGATATTATTCATACACACACACACACTTATTTTACTTTTTCCTATATATTTACATATTTCTTAATCTAATTACATTTTTTC